GCACTTCCCGCCGCTGCGTCTGCACAACTGGTCGGAGGAGCCCCATTCTTGATTTGGTCGTTAGCCAGGACTCTCTTTGTACCGCCTTCCATCACATTAGTTCTATGAGTAAAAATCTCAAATGTAACACAAACGGTGTATTGTTTTGCATTCACAAGCTCTGTTATGAATCAAAAAGTGATGCCACAAAGAAGTAAATACTTGCCGTTTTCGTATGTCCAACTGTGCTCTACTCGTGACAGGCAGATACACCAAAAGTCCGAGGATAATAAACACCTTTCACAAAAGATAGCCCACTTATTACACCTTTTCCCATCAAGCTTTAGACCAAATGAGTAATTCTCGAGCCTCGACCGTGGTAATTGTCAAATGTTGCAGTGTTACTAAACTGATGACATTAATCGGGGTGTATTTCTGTGAACGGTGTTCATTATCCTTGGACTGCTAATATATCCACCTCTTATGAACGGAGTTCAATTTAAGTGGATATACGGAACGCTAAGCATTTACCATTTTGTGGCATCACTTTCTAATTTAATTCAGGGTTTTTGAATTTAAAACAATGTACCGTTTGTGTGACATTTGAGATTTTTACTCACCGGGGTATCGCATGTTATGCAGAAACACTGAAGCTGTACGAGCGGTGTCAAATGGTTTGGTGATACGGGCAGCTCGTTTAAACTTTCTCCAATCAACATGTGGTACAGCGCGCTACCCCGACACCTCATTTTCTAACCAGGCTTTGTAACACTAACATTGGTAGAAAATAAAATGTTTCAACATCCGTTGACCTCAGAGTATATTTCGATACTTTTTCATCTGATTCGCCTGCAGCGGTATGACTAAAGTATTGCATCCAGGCCAAAGGACTACTGGTCATTGCTAAAGTGTTGACGATTTTGAACAAACTTAAATGGGAAAAGGTGTAGTAAAACCTTACTGAACTGCCCATCATCTCCTCCCGCTTGATGGCATCCTGATTGCATGTAATTCACAAGCTGTTTTTCCATTCGATAGCCTCATGATATCTGTAGAAATGTTTCGTACTGAGGTGAAAACTCCCGATGGTAGGGGTTACTAACACACGGATTTTAGGTGCCGACGAACAAACCATTTACCTAGGCTGATGGCAAAACGTTCGCAGGCCACCTGACCACACGGGGTCACACACTTATTTGACCAGGCTGCGAAAACTGATTTTTTGTATATATATATATATATAAACCTGAGAATACATTGACGATTGTGTATCGAATCTGCTAAATCTATGTAAAAAGTGGCATATAGTTAGATTCGGAAAGTCTCCAACCGAGTCGTAACCCCAGAGGCTAGTGCTGAGATACGAGAGTTGTGATGCTTGCTGTCTGATCAGCTGCCCAAGGATCAAATGGGTAGCATGCTTCTCTTCTACTTGTGGGGTCTTGGGTTCGATCCCCAGTTTGATCAATGGATGGATACGCACTGTTGATGTGATACAACCAAGTCAAAACAGCTTCCTAGCTTTTCAGACAACGCTTCAGTTGCTCCGTACACAACGAAATTCACCATGTAATCAGAAACGAAATTCTGCACTTCTTTCAAGCATAAGATGTGTGCTCTGTTTTTGTTTGTCTCGCCGTATCATAATCGATTGGGTTTCTGTACAACTTTCTTACTGCTCTATTCGCGGACTGTCAGAGTTAGTGCTTCTTAAGCTGATTTCACGCTGGTGTGTCTCAGCGTGACCACTAGCTACGATTACTGATTCCATAGTATATACTATTTCAATGGTAATTATAATAATCACTGAATATTATTAAACCTATTATTGAACTACATTTCAGTTGCAAAACATGAACACATGCAGTCTTTCGTGCAGACAGTATACTTGCATGCATGTTTAGTGATTAGAAAAAGATTCAAGCCCAGTGCATGAAATTAAGAGAATGTTCTCAGCGCGTATATTCACAATCACGCAAATTTGCCAGATTATTATTATGCCCAAGATGACTGATTGTATACACATGAGTTTGTATGTATGTGTGTGTATGTGTGTGTATGTGTGTGCGTGTGTGTGTGTGCACGCATGGATATGTATGAACAATGAAGATAGGACACAACGAAATGATAGGACTATCACATTGACCAGACTCACGTTGTACCACAGTCAACAAAGATGGAGCTAAAATGCAAGAAAAAGAGAGAGTGGGGGGGGGTCAAAATGAACGATTAAAACATTTGATAAATAATCACACACGTATACATGAAATATTTGCAATTCCGTGGTGATATTCCTATCCTATCGTTGTTGAATGAACCCGTCAGATTGAAGAAAATATGAATTCTCCCGAATTGATCCAAAAATGTAACACTTGCGAAGGAATTGAGAGCTTCATTTCCCGAAAACAGCTTCCGCGCCACAACAGTTTACTTCTCCTGCCACCCCATCGTATACACCGAGTATCTTGCATCTCGAAACCTTTCTTCACCCTGGCAGGGGAGACGGCAAAAAATAACATGACTTGATGTGACGTGGCTGGGCGTAAATTGGATAACTCGAGTTTGTTTTGGTTTTCCGCACCAACTTAAATGTGTGNGTGTGTGTGTGTGTGTGTGTGTGTGTGTGTGTGTGTGTGTGTGTGTGTGAAGCAATTCACGCACCCACAGCCACACATGCTTGCCACCAGTTGCCGGCAGCCTCCCCTCCCCCACACTGCCCCAATACCGGACCCAACTCTCTGTCCACGCATCTGCCCACCCCACTGGCGCTTTTGGTCGGTTGACTGAACGCGATCTGTCAACCTGCCGAAATTCGCTCAATCAACCCCGTCGTCAAACTGACTGGTTACTCTTTGTGTGTTTGATCGGCTGGGTGATCGGCCGGTTGGTTGGTTTGTTGGTTGGTTAGTTGGTTAGTTGACTGAGTAAGCGACTGACGCACCGGTCTACCAAACTGACTGTGGTAAACATCAGAATAGTAAAGTCCCATCTCCAAGCTCTCCATAACTCTCCCTCTCTCTCTCTCTGTTCCTCCTGCTATCCCACTCAACTTCGCTTATTCGGTTACGCAATAACAGGTCTGGGTACAAAAGCGAACTCGTTCGAACTCGGTTACATTCCCTTTTACAGTTTTTTGTTGTAATTCCACCCCACTTCCCCCACCCCGAGCTTTCATAAACACTCAAGCACACACACGCGCAGGCAACCTCAGCGTTCTCAACGAACAAACAAAAATACAAATTCACGCATTTGGACCATCATGTGATCGGTGAACGTGATCGATGCAAAATGAAAATGTGGTTCCCATTTGATCATCCACTTGGGTGAATTCGGCGGGATCCACTTAGAACCAATCGTCGGTTCTTTCACCCATTCTCAAGTGGTATATGGTTCGATTTCGAATTTGAATGATGAATGAAACCCGAACATCACTTGTGGAATGTTTTGGTTGATAGAGCACATTCGTATCCCTACGGGCGAGATACACGTGATCATCTTCCAGCTTGGATGTCAATTGCACTCAACAAAAAAGCTTAATGTTGAATACAAATTAGTTCTCGCAGTCAAACAGACCCATTTCTTGATTGCATGAACTGGTCAACAGTGTATTGGTGGTGGTGGTGTAGTGTATTGGTGTGTATTGGTCAGCCAGGACTCGACCCGAGAACCTTGGAATTGCAAGGGCAAATTCCGAACTACAAGGGACTGTGAATATGTGCCCCACTGCATTTATTCATGCAGCTGTAGTACACGGATACACAAATAAACGATGCCCAACGGTGAGGTTTTGCATTGATCACCAGATAGTTGAATAAACTGCAAAACTTTAATCATTCAAATGAACTACTGAAAAGACAAAAGATAAATTATGAGTAATTCCCCACTTACCAATTCTTCTATGAACTGGAAATTCACTCTAACAACAACACATCAGGACCAAACGATGTTAGGAGTGTATCGAAAAATCGATGCGCCATGTGTCGTTTTATTGTGAAAGT